AGTGGGACCAGAAAAGATTTTAGACACATTGTTATCAAGCTGAGAGTCGGAAGGGATCGACAAAAACTGATCAGATTTATTTCATGGGAGAAGTTGTCACCATCTCTACGAGCATAAAATGCCAGCAATGATAAAATTTATTGACTTCCAGAAACCTAATGACAATGGGGCGTGGGAAGTAAAATGGCTCTAAAATCGATGAGTGTCAGCGAGTACCTATTTGCAGAACGAGTTATCTACGAGATATTATATCAAATAGGGCCACCAAATTATCTGAATACGTCCTTTCTTAGTCCGCACATTGCGCCGCCACGCTTGTGTTGGCAGCACGAAACAGTAGACAAAATGCGTCCAAAATACGATTTGTAGAGGTTTGCGCGCTTCGAAATTGACGCTTTATTTTTTGATTTTTTTGGATGAAATTTTCACAGTGTGCTGAAAACAAAACCCCACAGGGTGCTATAGAGCCACTTTTTAATTTTTTTCACTAGGTTCTACAAAATCGCGAAGTTGAACAGAAAAATTGCGCAATTCAACCCATCATAAAACTTGTGCAAAAACAAAATTTCAAAAAGTGCTCCTATAGCACCCTGGGCAATTATCTTCTCAACATAATGCATGAATTTCATTGAAAAGTATTGAAAAATGGAGTGTCAGTTTTGAAGCAGCTGAACCCTTGTAAATGGCTTGAAACTCACTGCGTCGGAGCCGCCTTAAGTTGAAAAACTACGATGTTTTTCAATATTTCGAAAAGGTATGTAGAATACTAATGATAGCAATATTTTGTAAAAAGGTTTTATCCTCCTCCTCGTATTTCACCCCTTTCCTAAGAAGTACATATTCTGAATGTTTACAGAAGGAATATAAATTGCTTTTTATTTCCAAAGGCATAATACGTCACATAATTTATATAAAATAAATGTTCACATCGAAAAGACATCTTTATCATTCAAGTTTTGATGGTAAATGTACAGGGAAATCTAGGGTGCATGAAGTATGTGTAATAGGTGCGTACAAGTACAAGGGATAGAAACGTACAAATTGCTACCCTCCCCCACCCCTCAAAACTAAGCAACTAAGTATTAACTCCTGCAAACACTTTTCTGAAGATGGTCCGTATCATCTAAAACGTCAAAAGGCGAAGTTTGAGAAATTTCTGTGTTTTTGTTTTTGGGCGTTTTTCCCGCCGAAACTGGGCAGATTTCTAAAACCTAAAAAGCTTTTTCGTCCTTGACATAGCAGTAACCTCGAATAAGAGTTTCATCATTTTCCGAGCCACTCTTGCGAAGCTATAGGCGGGCGAAAAAATAGCGTACCGACAGTCCGATAGACAGACAGTCCGACCCAAATGAATGACATGGTTTTTGGTGACGTAGCTATCATATAACATCCTAAAACCTAAAACATATATCTCATGTTCAAATTTTTGGCAACTACAATACTTATTCAGTTAGGGAGTAGGAAGCAACGTGCCTTAAAAAAGGCTACCATGAGAAATGTTAATGACATTTCAAACTGAAGTCCGCCACGTCGCCCCTCAAGACAGCGAATCAATTAACGATGCGTCGAACGACTGAGCGAAAGGTTGTCACGGCAGGGTAGTAACATCCGCAGACGCGTGGCATTCAAATGGGAAATTAAACTGAATTCAATTTTCACCTCGGTCGACTGACGTCTTTTATTTAAATTCGGTTTCTTCTTTTATAGGAGATACAGGTATACGGGTGACAGTTTCGGGTGTGAGAGCGTCTAATCTTTTGGCGTGACAATGAGATCTTATTTGAGATAGTGGACAAACGGTTTATATATTTTTTAAGTGTCAATTTACAGTAGTTTACTTCTCAGTTATAAATATAAACGAGAATTTATGGTCGGTTATACCGCTGTTCTCTACAACCACTTCTACCAAAAAATTGATCCTAATATTAAGACCAACCTAACTCTGATTAGTGAAAAATTAGCTAAGATAACGATCTGATAACTGACAGCAATGGTGTACTGTACCCAACTAACAATTATCACTCCTATTAGAGTTGCAAGAATGATTATACAGTATTCCTTACACAGCATTGTATACTGTAATAACATTGGCAAAACCCTCTTAGAACAGCTATGCAAGCGGAATGGGCACACCTAATAGGACACTTCAGGCATTTAAGAGGTTGTATAAGGGTTGCAGGTAACAGTTATACAACAAAAGTGTAAGCCTCTTGCAGCCGCTATACGACATTTGCGTCAGTGCAAGATTCAGTTCTTGTCAACTATGCAACTACTCTGTTACGTGATTCTACTTTATTGCAACCAAACTATTTCTTATATATTGCATAGTGAAGAATATATAACTAACACATTACAGTCATCTTGTTTACTTACATATCGGCCATTGTGAATTTCATACACAGGTATATAATAAACTTCTACACTGTGATATAGGGTTATTGAATTACTTGCGCAGCAAATTTTATTGTGATTATCGTGCAAAGTAGTTACGCAATTTCTATGGGCTTCGTATTTGATGCATATTTTGATAATGATCAAAAGTATGTCTAGATTTTTAAGATTCAAAACTGGATTTATCTGCGTCAAATATTCCACAAATCCTATATTTAGACACAATTACACTAATGCTTATCACTTTATATCTGTAATTTCGAACTGAAACATAATTATTTAATATTAAATAGAGGAATAAATGTTTGCCCAATATGGCGGGTGGTTGTGTATGATCATAGCATCGTCCATGTTGTCTTTAGTTTATTAGAATATTTTGGTGTTGCCTGCAGGTGTTATAAAACAATTTGACAAATGTCAGAAATGAAATATCGACAGAATCGAATGATTTACCCAGAATTTGTACCAGATCTATATCTTCTGTTTGAACAGTTGATAAAACCTTTTGAACCAATATGCATTCGTTGTTTGTCTTAAAACATTGGTTATGGCATTTTAACAAAAATATGACAGCAGGAAGTTAGGTTATGGAGAAGTTGTATACCAACATATTTAGCATATGTACAGCCTTTAACAGTTACTAAACAACAGTTGTATAAGTGCTTCCGTTGGGAGCAACTTGTTGGATAAACTAGTAATAGGCACAGCAAAACAGCAAGGCTCGGGTTTGTTTTATAAACGTTACCATGGATGCCACAACACAACCATTTTGAATAACGTGCAAATATGCCGTATAAAATAGTTGTATAAACGTTTATGCAACAGTTAAAAATTTGTCCTATGAGGCGTTGTAAAACTATGCTATAAGAATATTTTAAACACCTCATTTTAGAGCAAATATGTTGCAGAAAGCAAATTTGCATTCCACACAACATTAAGCCAGCATTTTGGTATTCAGGCAACAACAATAGAGAGCTTTTATGGCTGAACGGTTCTTTTACCAAAAGCTACTTTGCTAGTTGGGTAGAGACCTTTTATAGACAATTGTCTGACCTACCTTAAAAATAAGGAAAAAACTTATAACAAAAACATTCTGAAGTATTTGTGTCCCTTAGGCCCGTATCGTCAGTCGCCCCTACAATTGTAGGGCGCGTTTATGGCCTCCTTGATTGTCATACTCCTTTCTCACCTTCAAAAATTTCTAGATTAGGTACACTTGTCCCGTGTCAGCGTCAGCGCTCTAATATTGTAAAGATATGTTTCCTTTTTAAATTGTAAGAAATTTTAGGCTGATAGAACATGATATAATTCAAAAGCAAGCACAATTTGATGCAAATAGATGTTTGTGACATAACCTCAAAATAGAGCGCTGACACGGAGAAGTAGAAAACTATGACAATCAAGGAGGCCATAAAGGCGCCCTACAATTGTAGGGACGACTGACGATACGGGCCTTAGTCCCACGTGTGTTACAAATTCAGCCAACGAAAAGACGTCTTTGAAGTAATGGATCTGATAAATTTTATCGATTTCTTGTAAAATGTCACGCAAACTATACTAAGTGACATATAAATCCGAACACCCAGTTTAAATGGTTTTATTTTAATAAAAGTTGGTGAATGTATTTATCTTACTGTAAATAAAAAGTGAAAAAATTTTCAGCCTTATCAGTTGGACATTCCGGTTTTCATACTGCTTTTTTTTAATTCACTAACGCTCTAAAAATGAATATTTCAGCCGCACTAAAGAACGGAGACCTGTACGATTTCGTCAACTTAGCGAGTTTGATAGGGGTCGTATAGTGGGACTTCGGGAAGCTGGACTTTCTTTTCGGGCAATTCCAGTTAGAGTGCAAAGAAGTGTAGACACTGTGGTTAGGTGTTGTCAGGCATGGCTTCGAGAAGGCCGTACGCAAAGAGCAAGGGGCACTGGACGCCGCCGTAGAACAACAGATCGTGAAGATCGCCGCCTAAGGTTATTGGCCTTAAGGGACCGTTTCTCCACTACCAGGTCCATTGCAAATGAATGGTTTGCAGAACACGGAAGACCTATTGGCATGCGAAGTGTTTACCGACGAATGAGAAGTTTTGGCTTGTTTTCATACCGGCCACATTAGGTCCTCCCTTTAACTCGAGAACACCGACGTAATCGCCTTGAGTGGTGCAGACAACGGTCACTCTGGGATCAGGAATGGAACAGTATTGTCTTTAGTGACGAGTCTCGATTTTGTTTAGGCATGCACGATGGTCGTGCCAGGGTTAGAAGGCGACGTGGTGAAAGGAGGAATCCATAGTTTTTTGTTGAAAGACATGTTCACACTGTTGGAGTTATGGTTTGGGGTGCTATAGCTTATGGTTCCAGGTCACCTTTAATCTTCATCAGAGGTAACATGAACGCGCAGCGTTATATCCACGAAGTTCTAGAACCCCATCTTTTAGAGATATCGAACTGACAACTACCGTGCGAAAGACCCTGTCCCTTACGCCAGCCCTGTTAACAGTACAGTGGCTTTACGAGGGATGTCTTTTAAGTTTTGCATATGTTAATAAAACAACACGCTAGGTAGTTTTAAATGACTTTATTCTTTTTCGAAGTATTCTCCACGAAGATTAATACACATCTGCATGCGCTCTAACTAATTTTCGAAGCACTTGTTCCACTCGTTTGCTGGCAGATCCAAAACGGCATTTTTGAATGCGTCAACTGCTTCTTCTGGTGACTGGAACCTTTGACCACCCAGTCTGTTTTTAATTTTCGGAAAAGTAAAGAAATCGTTAGGACTTAGATCGGGACTATATGGAGTATGGTCCTTGCCTTGTTTTTTGGGCTGTGTGCGAGCTTGCATTGTCTTGGTGGAGGATGATTCTTCTCCTGGGGTTGATTTTTCGAAGCTGGGGGTGACTTTTGGCAAAAAAATGGTGGTATACCAATCCGCAGTAACAGTTATTTTCTCATTAAGAGGAATTGTTGCAATACGTTCCGCTTTGACACAAATGTCGCGGCCATCTTTTTCGAAACACTTCGAGAACGGATGACTTTTGTTGGCTTTTCTTCACCTTGGAACACCCAAACAGCCGACTGTCGTTTATTTTCTGGTTCATAACAGCAAATCCACGATTCATCACCACTAACAATGCTGTACACATTTTTTGAGTTTCCGGAATTTAAACGGTCAAGCGGTTTTTGACACCAATTAACCCTGGCTGCTTTCTGCTCTTCACTCAACAGGTGGGGTAACCAACAAGAAACTGATTTTCTTACTCCTAATTCTTCATGTAAATTTTTTTGAATTGAGGTCTTTGAGATCACGCGATATGTCACATGTCTATCTTCAATGATGAGTTTGCGCACAGCATCGACGTTTTTGGTGGACCCACCCTGGGATCGTCGCTAAGACTTACCCATCCACGTTTGAATTCTCAATACCAACGGGAAAATGTCGACTGATTTGGCGCTTCGTTGCCGACAATAGACAGTAACTCAGCAAGGCATTCTTGTTGTGATAATTTTTTCTGAAAGTTGTAATAAATTATGGCGCGAAAATGTTCTCGGTTGAGTTCCAATTTTCTAATCACTTGGTGACACTTAAAAATTCACTGTAGTGAGAACACTGCATGTATTGCTGTGAAACTTTGAATTTAAGTTTACTAAAGAGTGAGGTTAAGATTCAGTACTGGCGTTCGACCCGCGCGGCCTACTATGTTTCTATATGCAAGACTTAAAAGACGTCCCTCGTATAGCAGGGTTTCCCAACCTTTTTTTTTGTTGGGGCTTCCCGGACTATAAATTATATTTTCACATTATTTAGGTACAAAGACTTTTACGTTAATTATTAAAAGAATCTTTAAGAGTTTGAATAAACTAATGAATGTTTTTTATCAAAAAACTTGAATAAAATAAGAGTAGGTACTAATGAGTTACTTGAGATTGCATGTTCTGTACCAGTTGGTTGATTCTAGGTTCTGTTTTTGCCAGAGCTATCATCAGGTCGCTGTCGACATCAAGACGATTTCTCTGTTTAGTTTTAAATAAAACTAGAGCAGAAAAGCCTGTCTCACATAAATAAGTTGAAGAAAAAGGAACTAGCGTTCGTAAAGCAGGAGAGGCAAGTGTCGAATTAACAGCTAATCTTTTGAAGCAAATCTCCAATGCTAAAAGATGGAAGTCATCTTTCATGGAAAAATCAGCCCTCATTTCTAGAAATTCTTCCTGAACTTCTTCTGGTAATTGTGGGACATCGACAACAAATGTATTTCATGTCATGTGCCATATTGGTGACTCTGAATTGATGTCTCGATACTATCGGCAAAATTCGTCTTCCAGCGCTTGCAAATGAGTTTTTATATCAGCTTTTGAATTTGCGTTCAATATGTTAACAGCCGAGAAAAAGATATAACATTTTCAGAAGACACTTTTTGATTCCAAAGTTGAAGCTTTGATATATATAACCGACTATTCAAAGCACTGCTCTTGATGACAATCCTTATATCCGAGACCAAAGTCTGGCGTAATTTCAGTGGCTATGTCTTGGAAGCCAAAGCTTACCGACGAATAACCCAATGTCTTCTTACCATTGCGGGATTTTTTTCCTTGAGCTTTCTAGCTAATCCCGATCGTAAACCTATCATTGCCGGTGCGCTATCTGTGTAAAGTCAACAAAATTTGATATTGAATTAAATATCTTCAGATGTAGTACCTGTTGTCAAAGATTGGGAGTACAAAATATCTCCTTGAATGATATCTCTGCACAACTGTGCACAATTAACGATGTCGGTGGATTCATCGCAACTAATGGCAAATGATGGCGATAACTTCACTTTGTTAATTATTTGCGACGTTATTTCTGCTGCAATGTCATTGATTCTACGCTTGACTGTGTTATTCGAAAGAGAAACAGACTTCATTTTTTGCTCTGCATCTTCTCCTAAAATTATCTGCGTGGCTTTTAGGACACATGGTTTTATTAATTCTTCACCGATAGTATGAGGTTTCTTTTGCTTTGCTATAATAAAAGGTATTTCAAATGAAGCTTTGAGATGCTGCGATACACATGTGTGATAACTTGCCGATTTATTCAGTCTGATCTGCCTGAGTGATTCTGCTTTAGAAGAAAAAACTCTTTCGTCTTCAAAACCAGAGTAGGATGTTGCTGCTTCAAATGCCTTTCAAGGCGATTGGGCCTCATGCTATCACTACTTAAAACTTTCATATAAATCACACACTGAAGTAATTGTAACTCGTCTTTTTCTATGACAGTAGATCCAAAATTAACGTATTCTTCGGAAAACCTTCTTTTTTCGCTGTCATTTTGCACCTATAACAATAAAACGAATAAGTAATAAATAAATAAGCAAAATACCTACATGTAATTACTAGTTATATGCCCATTATTTTTTCTTAAAAACGTAATGTATTCAACAGTGAGATTTATATTTTTGTAGGCAGGTTGACGTTATAATAGTAACTTCAAGTACATTTGGAATCAATATTAGGTACTCAAAGTTTGTCGTTACAAGATTTTTTTTTTTTTTATACTCCAACTACCACGAAGGCCTAAGGCCTAAGCACCCGTTGGGTACCGTGGGGCTATGGGGGATACATGGGAAAGGGGGGACGCCACACGGACTCTGGCGAGGGAATACGTGTGCATGCAACATGCACACATTCTGGCTCCGCCTACGAGAACCGCCGGGTGGTACCTCCGCGTTCGACAGTCAGAGACCATCTACCACCTACGGACAATCACAACATCCATGGCCAAGAGAAACATTTCTCCTGGGACGGGACTCGAACCCGCACAGCGCACGGCGGCTGATCAGGAGGCCGAAGGGTCTACTACTGCGGCCACCGCTGCTGCCTAAAACAAACACGCAACATCCATGGCGAAGGGGAGATTCGAACTCGCGGCCCGGCCGGCCGGCTGATCAGTAGTAGCACGACACTCTGACCCACGCGGCCAACCGAGGTCCCAGATTAGAAGATTATTTCGCCACGTTGGTTTGGTTGTGATGTGGTAAAAAAGTCCCAATGGCCGATCTATGAACGCGTCTCCACTCAATCCACAATTAAGTAAATTAAATAAAAATGGTAACTGAAGTTTGTAAATACACAAACTTACCTTTTAACAGTGAGACACGACAATTTGACACACTCAAAGAGATTTCTCAACAAAACATGTAATCGAAACGTGCAAATTTTTCGCAACTTTGTGGGAATGAATGTCACAGATACTCATCCGCGTCTGGTAGGTACACGTTTTTCTAAGTGATGAATGTTAAGCGGAGCGCGGCGGGGGTGCGCGCCGATTTCATCTTGTGACTTGTCGAAACTTGTATAAGCTGCAATTGACGACGCCGGGTTTTGAAACAGCGGTTGACAGAATAACTGAATATGATATTTGATTTCTAATTTTATGCGTGTAAATTGAACATTACATTGTAATGTTATTTGTTAATGCTGTTTGTCTATTTTTTTTGTTTTTTCTTTCTGAAATGCAAACGCTTTCCGTCGCCTCCCCCCGGCATCTCTCTATGCGCCCTTCTGGTTGGGAACTCCTGCTTTATAGGGACAGTGGTGACAATAGAGACTTAACTCCGCCCGCCGCATTGAATGCCTGGACACACAACAGTGACTTACTTGTACGGTCTAGTTTGCTCGACAAAGACGGAACACGACAGTGTGGCCACATGATGCAAGTAAGTTTGCACAAGCCTTTGATTTTATTTTCCATAGACACGGTAACGAGCGATATAAATCAATAAATCCTGTGATAAATTGCTTAGAACAAGTAGGTAAGTCTCCATTTGACCTGCACGTCGTCCACACGTACAAGTTTAGTTGCATAAACAGGTTTGAGCAGGTGAAACTTTCAGCAGAGCAACTTTCACTCAAGCCGTACCTTTTGGTTTGCGATAGCAACCGTTTTACCGTACACAACCGGTTTGCACAAGTAAGACCGTGGTGATACTTGTACGTGAGGCCGGGACTTTAGAAACAAAACTTGCTTTGTTTACTATAAGCGACGTGTAATTAGATTCGCGTCTTTTATTTAGTTATTTGTAACACTTAATGTAAATTTTCTAAGTGAGATTCATACTTTAAAAATACGTACATATAATTCATTATACTTAGTATTTACACTCTAGTTCAAGAAACATTTATGGAAGTCAACAACAAATGTTAATGTAAATGTGGATGCGTTTTCTGAAGTGATGACTTCTTACATTTTAATCAATTTACAGTGGTTTAAATATATTGATGTGATCTTTAGAATAAGTTGAAAAAACTGAAATCAACAGAAGGACTCGATGCTATTTTATGTTGAAAAATTTTTTTTATAGAAACCCTAAAAAATATGTCTAAGAGTTATCTTTTTGGTTTTTCTTTTCTTTATGTATTCGTATTTTTATTGTTACACATGTTTGCTGTTATATAAAGAATATGACATATATGTGTATATTCACGAAAAGCTCAGGCACTTTTCAATAGAAAATTGCATTGATCATCCACAAGATTCAAAACAGGTTAAAAAGCACCTATTTATTTAAGTATACAATTATTGCTTTTCGTGAAATACCTCGCCAAATCCTAATACACCTATTCATACAGATACTAATATTCTATCTCTAATAGCCAAATCTACGGATATATACACTGCACACAACACAAGCAAGGGTAAACAACACAAATTTTGCCTCTTAATGGCGGCAACAATCAAAACACTGACGATCAATTGTCGCCACTGTCCCTATAAAGCCACTGTGGCGCAGCGAGGTCATGTAGTCATCCTACAGTAGGACAACTATTTCTAACCTTGCCTGCGTCACCGTGGCGCAGCGAGGTCATGTAGTCATCCTACCGTCCAGTACAGTGCGCGAAATCTTCCTGTTAACATTATGTCAGTAAATTGATTACTTACTCGATGTTTGTTTAATAACAAGCACCTTGTAATTTTTCTTATATCTGTGAAGAGTTTATCAAGCAGAATTTTGTGCAGCAACAGTGAGACACCGTAATTTTCAATAAAACGCTCAGAAATGGCGTCATGTCAATCTATTGTATCAGGTTTGATCCATGTTTCGTGTAGGCCACAAACCCTTTTTGTTTGATGGAATTTGCGTCAACTTTTTTTCCGGACAAAATAAAAAATAGGTTTTTAAAGCTGAAGTATTTCTTAATTTAATATGAGAATCGGGAGCCCATCTTTTACAAAAATCGCATAATTAGTTTGGAAGACATTTTAAAAGAAATCAAATCAATTCAATATATACATCCATTAATTTAAAGACGTCTTCTCATTGGTCCAACTTCTGCAGAAGTTTCAAATTTTGATTCCCGCCGATTAATAGTAAAATTGGGCCTAAAAGCCGTTTAAACAAGTACGTGAAATGCATCGCGCTTCATGGTAAGGCTTGGTTGCTATTCCTGGAGAGCAGCTCACTTGAACTTCTTATACCTTAAGCAAGTTTCCATGGCCGCAGTGGTCTGTTTGCCAATAGCTTGTCAGATAGTGGTCAGTAGGTCATGAGAATGTCAGACATGGGTTAACACTAGATTAGAAACACAGGATACAAAATCAGCCTCAACCAGAGATATTATTCCAGTTATTTTGGCTGCCTGTTT